AGGACAGGGGAGAAAAAGAGACAGAGGTGCACTTCCTACTGCACTGTGACGAATATCCTGGGATTAGAGAAACATTCTTCCCCAAATTTACACAGCTAATCCCATAACTCCCACACCTCCCAGAATCACAACAACTCCCAATCCTACTGGGAGAGGGGGGAGAGAACTCAGTTGAACTGGCAGCACAGTGTGTGATCTCCTGTCACTGCCTGAGGAACAGTGAGTCTGTCTCTCAGCAATGCTCCATATGTCTGTATGTAAATATTTTATGATGTGTCTTTATTGTAAATGTCTGTACATTTTTGTTCTATGTTAATTGTATTTGCTTTGCTTTGCTTTGGCAACACTGATTGTACTCATGGGTCCTGCCAATAAAGCACCTTGAACTGAAAGGAATTGAAAGTGGAGAGGGACAGAAGGGGAGGATTTAGAGACAGAGCGGAGCTGGAGTCTGAGTGAGATCGGGCCAAAGGAGACGAAGAGAGGGAGGTAAGGGAGGAGAGGGAGACAGGAGCTTGGAGGAAACGAGAGGGAGGCGAGGAGATGGAAAAGCAGATGCGCAGTACAGAGGGGAGGTGGGTGAATTAACAGGGCTGTAAAACACTACAGCTGTCACCTATAGGTGGGCCAACTGCGGCAGTTTTTATAGGAAGCTGTAAATCAGGGAGCTAAGACCTGCGGAACGCTAAAGGATTCATTACGAACAGGCGCTGTGTTTACTGCACCTCTCTCAGGGCTGATAAGGAGTACAGTACGGACAGCTTTCCCATCACAGATTCGTAAAATCTCCCGACCACACAGAGCAGTCCTGTAGTCCTGTTTCTGTGGGGACTTCCCACGGACTCTCAAGCCATTTATTAACGACATGCTGCCCTGAATTGAAACTCCGCATGGTGCGAAAATCAGTGTGGGCATCACAAACCGTTTTTACGACGGACCCCATTCGGGGGAACTACCTCAAGCTTGTGCCGAGGTTGAGAGAAATACAAGCCCACACATGAGAGCACACGTGTACGCACGAGCAGGTGCGTGTACAAGCACACGGACACACGGACACACACCGGCACTCACAGGCGTGCACGTAGGAGCACACAAGATGACACACACAGACACACACATGCATGCAGGAGCGCACAAGAGCACAGACGGACACACACACACATGCAGGAGCACACACAGACACACACACGCATGCAGGAGCACACAAAAGCACACACAGACACACACACACACACCTAGTCAGTTAGAGTCAGTCCGATTTGGAAATTCCCTTGACTGTGAACCCAGTTCACCGCAGACCTGACAGAACAACAGCTGTTTACACCAGAGACAGCAGACGGGACGAGCACA